CGTAAAATTACAATAAAAAGTGTACTCAGAGTAACCCTATACACCGTAATACCTAGACTAGTTTCACAGTGTGAAAATACATGGGAAAAAAAATCCCAGCTTGTTTTGAAAGATGATCATAATCTTGTAATTAAAACCTAACAATCAGGAGGACTAAGTAGCTCAGTGGTTGAATGTTGACTTTTGATTTCAGTTCAGGTCATGATCCCAGGATCATGGGATCAAACCCTTTGTGGAGCTCCTCCCTAAGCATGAAGCCTGCTTAGGATTCTCTCTCTCTTTCTCTCTCTCTCTCTCTCTCTCCCTCTCCTCCCTCCCTCCTCTCTCTCTCTCTCTCTCTCCTTCCCCTCCCTCTCCCTCTGCCCCTTTCCCCCACTCTAGCTCTCTCTCTCTAAAAATGAAAAACAAACAAAAAACCTAATAACACCAGAAGAAAATCTATAGGCTATGGACTACTTTATAACTGTAAATGCAAAAATCCTAAATGAAAATTTAGCAGTTCTAATCCAGTAGCCTGCATACCTTGAGATCTGCAAGAGAAAACAGTTTGTGTAGCTCTATATTATTCATCTTAAACAGTTTACCCACCCTTCCACCCTCCCTAGAGATTACAAAAAAGATAATTACCCTAAATTTTATAATCCTTTTCACTCAATCACAACCAGTAGCCTCCAGGTCATACACCATTACCCTGATTAGCATCTCCATGCCTCTCACTACTTCTATTAATCTGATTCAGTGTCCACTTTTCACCAACCATTCTAACCATTTCACTCCACACTTTAGATTTCAACATCTGTTAACAGCCATTTCCCCTTTATTCTTCACCTCTTCTCTAAATGTTCCCATCAACTTCCTGTTCCAACTGAAAACTGGTTTATCACCTGACAAAATCACCTCTCTTGCTACTTTCTAAATAGAGGAGTTTGTTTTACTTCTCACAGTTTGTTTGTTTTTTAATCTTCAAACCTGCTCTTCATGATGCCTCCAAATCATTTCTCTTTCTTTCTCCTTCAAAAACCCAAGCTTTTGAGGGCGCCTGGGTGGCTCAGTCCATTAAGTGTCCGACTTCAGCTCAGGTCATGATCACAGGGTTCGTGGGTTCAAGCCCCGTGTTGGGCTCTGTGCTCAGAGCCGGGAGACTACTTCAGATTCTTTATCTCCCTCTCTCTCTGACCCTCCCCTGCTCACGCTGTGTCTCTCTCTCTCAGAAGTAAGTAAAACATTTTTTTAAAACTTTTAAAAATAAACAAAAACAAAAACCCAAGCTTTTTAAAAGTTACTGCCAACTGCTACTACACCAAGATGTCCTCACCTACTGATCCCTAGTAATTCCCCCTTCATTTGTTCATGGTTCACTGTCTTCCTTTCTTCCACTATTTTTGTCACTTCTCAGCCACTTTTTCAAAATGTGATCTTCATTTTCCATCCAACACCCTGCCTTCTCAGTTCCAAATTCTCCTCTTCATGAAGTGGCCTTGATACTGTTAAAAGCAAACCCTCCATTTGTGTTTTAGATCCTTTCTCCTTTCTCCTCCTCCTTTGCTCCACCAATTATCCTTTCTTTCTTCTACCTCCTAAGTTTTTCCTTTTCTACTGGGTCATTTCCATCAGTGCACAGACATGTTCTGGTTTCAATTTTAACTAAAAACAACAGGGGTACCTGGGTGGCTCAGTCGGTTAAGCCTCTGGCTTTGGCTCAGGTCATGATCTCATGGTTCATACCCCGCATCCAGCTCTCCACTGTCAGCTTGGACCCCGCTTCAGATCCTCTGCCTTTCTCTCCCTGCCCGCTCCCTGCTTGTGCTCGCGCCCGCTCCCTGCTTGTGCTCGCGCCCTCTCCCTAAAATAAACACTTAAAAAACAACAACAAAAAACCACCTACCTTGACCCCTTACACTACCCCCATTTCTCTGCTCCCCTTCACAGATCTTTTGAAAGATCTGTCTCTATCTAGATTCTATGTCTAATTCTACTCCATAATTTCTCCTTAACCTATTCCAAACAAGTAACCATCCCTGTTGTTCTTTTTTTTTTTTTAATGTTTTATTTATTTTTGAGAGAGAGAGAGAGAGAGCATGTGAGCAGGGGAGGGTCAGAGAAAGAGGGAGACACAGAATCCTAAGACAGGCTCCAGGCTCTGAGCTGTCAGCACAGAGCCCAACACGGGGCTCAAACCCATGAACCATGACATCATGACCTGAGCCGAAGTCAGATGCTCAACCCACTGAGCCGCCCCCCTGCATTGTTCTTTTAAGACTGTTTTTGTGACATAACCAAACCTCTCGATTTCCAAAGCTAACCTTTCTGTTATTGACTTGGCTCCAGATGAAGAAGCAAGTGAAACCGCTGTTTCCTTCTTGAAACTTAGTAGCAAGTCAAGCTAATGCTTCTTTCTTAAAACTTCTCTTGGTTGAAAAGAAATCACGCTATCCTGATTTTCTTCCTACCTAATTGACAAACCACCCCTTCTCATTGTCATTTGCTGATTTCTCCCCAGCCAGACCTTAAATTGTTGCAGAGAGTCCAGGGTTTGGTCCTGGGCTCTTTTCTCTTCCTATACACTCCCAGGACCATAGCTTGGGTAACATCATCCAGGACCATAGCTCTCCTCCCTCCGTCTTATCCACATCAGTAAGCATCACCATCCACCAGGCTGTTCAAGCCAAAAACAAAAACAAACAAAAAACCAAGGAGTTTTTTTTTCCTTTCATTCTCTTCTTCATCCCCCGACCAATTTCCAATCCTTCTAATTTATCAGCAAATTCTCTTAACTAATCTCTAAAATCAATACTGAATCCACCACTTCTCATTACCTCCACCACTGTCATCCCAGTTTAAACCACTATTACCTCTCACTTGGGTCACTACATGAGTCTCCTCACAAGTCTCATTTCTTTCACTCTTGACCCTGACAGTCCTTTTCCCACCAGCTGCTATCGTGATCTTTCAAAATCGCAAATCAGTTCAAGTCATTCTGTGACTCACTACACTCCATGACCTCCCCTCACACTTAAAATAATGTGTATGGGGAGGGGGTGGGAAGATAGACAAAATAAGTGAAGGATACACTTCACTCACTTGAAGAGATACAATATTCCAGTTATAAGATGAGTAGGACAAGGGGAGGTAATGGACAGCATAGAGAATACAGTCAATAATATTGTAAGAACTTTGTATAGTAACAGATGGTAGATAGATTTTTTTGTGATGACCATTTCATAATGCATATAAATTTCAAATCAGCTATGTTGTACACCCGAAATTAATACAATATTGTATGTCAATTATTCTTTAATAAAAAATAATAAAGTAAAATAACATTGTTTCATAACAGTTTCCCCTTCCCCACTACACTCCAGCCTCACTGGCCTTATTTCTGTTCCTTGAACCAGCCAAGCTATTTAGCGGTCCTAGGACTTTCTGCATTTAGCTGTTCCCTCCCCATAGAATACTTGCGGGGGTGCCTAGGTGGCTCAGTCGATCAAGCAACTGACTCTTGATTTCAGTTCAGGTCATGACCTCAGTTTCCTGATTTCCAGCACCACATCAGGCTCTGCACTGACAACAGAGCCTGCTTGATATTCTCCCTCTCTCTCTGCCCCTCCCTCCACTCACACTCTCTGTCTCTCCCAAAATAAATAAACTTACAAATAAAGAATTATAAATAGAGAACACTTGCCACACCTCTAGTGGCTTAACAAGGCTGGATTCTTCATGCTATTTAGACCTCAGTCTAAATATTAGGAGACTTTCCCAGCGGTCCAGTCTAAAGTAGCCACCCGGTATCTCTATCACATAACTTATGGTGTCTCACTGCCCAGTTGGTTGGGGACTCCCAAATGTGAGGCAATGATTGAGTGGAAGATGGTGGCATGGACGGTGAAAGGATTCACCCAAAGCACAACAGAAGTTTGCTGAATACACTGCAAGGGATGGGCAGGCAGGACTGCAAAGTCTCAAGAGACTGTCTGCAAGGAGGCAGTGGGTGGGGGCTGTATTTAAAGCAGGAAGGTAAGGAGACACAGACATATGAAATTTTCCCTTTTTTGGTAACTGTTTGGATGTAAATAGCCCATTGATCAGCTAGGGCTTATAGATATTTTGATGTGGGCCACCTGACGAGCCTGCCTATATTCAGCCAAGTGGTCACTGTGTGGGGGCCCTTTTGCCTTCATCAAGTTTCCATTGCTCAACTCTGTTTTCTTTTTTTTTAATATAATTTATTGTTAAGTTAGCTAACATACAGGATAGACTGTGTGCTCTTGGTTTGGGGGGTAGATTCCCATGATTCATTGTTTATATACAACACCCAGTGCTCATCCCGACAAGTGCCCTCCTCAATGCCCATCACCCACTTTCCCCTCTCCCCCACCCCACACCAACCCTCAGTTTGTTCTCTGTATTTAAGAGTCTCTTATGGGGGCACCTGGGTGGCTCAGGCGGTTAAGCGGCCGACTTCAACTCAGGTCATGATCTCCTGGTCTGTGGGTTTGAGCCCTGCGTCAGGCTCTGGGCTGGCAGCTCAGAGCCTGGAGCCTGCTTCAGATTCTGGGTCTCCCTCTCTCTCTCTGCTCCTCCCCTGCTTGCTCTTTGTCTCTCTCTGTCTCAAAAATAACAAACAGTAAAATTTAAAAATAATAATAATAATAATGAGTCTCTTATGGTTTGCCTCCTTCCCTATGGGTTTGTAACTATTTTTTCCCCTTCCCTACCCCCATGGCCTTCTGTTAAATTTCTCAAGTTCCACATATGAGTGAAAACATATGATATCTGTCTTTCTCTGACTGACTTTTTTTCACTTAGCATAATACCTTCTTGTTCCATCCACATTGCTTCAAATGGCAGGATTTCATTCTTTCCCATTGCCAACCAATATTCCATTGTATATACAAACCACATCTTCTTTATCCATTCATCAGTTGATGGACATTTAGGCTATTTCCATAATTTGGCTATTGTTGAAAGCACTCAAGCCTGTTTTCTAAAAGCGGCCTCTAGTGCTTGCTTGGGCAGCATATATCCTAAAATTGGAACGATACAGAGATGATTAACATGGCCCCTGTGCAAGGATGACACTCAAATTCGTGAAGCATTCCATTATCTAAAGGGAAATAAAGCAACCTTTATGATGACCCTACTTAAATTCTCTGAAGAGGACTTCTTACTATCTGATCTTTTTAAAAATATATATGTTTATTTTATTTTTAATTTTGTATTCATTTTTGAGAGAGGGAGAGAGAGAGAGAGAGAGAGAGAGAAAGTGAGGAAAACATAGAATCTGAAGCAGGCTCCAAGCTCTGAGCTGTCAGCATAGAGACCTAATCAGGCCTTGAACTCCTGAACTGCAAGCTCATGACTTAAGCCAAAGACCAGTCGCTTAACCAACAGAGCCATCCAGGCACTCCTATATTCTTTTTATTTTTTATTTAAGTTTTTTATCTTTATTTTTTGAGAGAGAGAGAGAGAGTGCAAGCAGAGTGTGAGCAGAGGAGGAACAGAGAGAGAGGGAGACACAGAATCTGAAGCAGGCCTCCAACTCTGAACTCTCAGCACAGAGCTCCACATAGGGCTCGAATTCACAAACAGAGAGCTCATAACCTGAGCCAAAGTCAGACACTTAACTGACTGAGCCACCCAGATGCCCCTATATTTGTTTTATTTTAGAGAGGGAACGAGAGTGAGAGAGAGAGAGAAAGGGAGAGAGAGAGAGAGGGAGAGTCTTAAGCAGGCTTCACCCTCAGTACAAAGCCCAAGGCAGGGCTTGATCCAATGATCTTGTGACCATTACCTGAGCCTAAATCAAGAGGTGGATATTCAACTGACTGAGCCAGCCAAGAGTCCCACTCATCTTTTTAACTTATTTTTTTATTGACTATCTTATTCAATTAGAATATAGGCTCCATGGGGTCCCCGGGTGGCTCAGTTGGTTGGGTGTTCAACTTCAGCTCAGGTCATGGTCTTGCCGTTCATGGGTTCAAGCCCCATGTCAGGCTCTGTGCTGACAGCTCAGAGTCTGGAGCCTACTTCAGATTCTGTGTGTCCCTCTCTCTCTGCTCTTCCCCTGCTCACATACACTCTCTCTCAAAAATAAATAAACATTAAAAAAAATAGGCTGCATGAAAACAGGCAACTTATCTTGTTCATCATTATATTCCCTGAACCTAACACAAAAAAATTGTTCTGTAAGTTGATTCATTCAGTCAGGAAGAAATGTGTAAAGTTGTTATGAAGAAAACCATGAAATTTTCTAAAGGAAAAAATAAATCTTTGAATAAGTGGAAAAACATACCCCTTTCCTGGATGAGAAACTTAGTTTGTTCCAAATGAATCTACAAATTTATTATCATTTTAATCAAAATCCCAACTGGATTTTTTTTTTAAGTAATCTCTACACTCAACATGGGGCTTGGAACTCAGGACTCTGAGGTGAAGAGTCACACATACTTTACCAACTGAGCCAACCAGGTGCCTTGGGTTTTTTTTAAAACTTGACAAGTTGATTCTCAAATTTATCCAGAAAAGAAAAGGGATGTTATGGAAAAAGAAGAATATTGAGACAATTAGGTGCCCTGCAGATATCAGAGTATTTTATAAAGTCGATAGTGGAAGATAAATGTCCATTTGGTGATTTGGAACGAGGAGTCCAGAACGCAAAGGAGTATATGATGGATGTGGCATTTCAAACAACTGAGGAAAAGATTGATTATACACTGATGTGAGGACATCTGGCTATCCCTTTGGCAGAACAACTCACTATCTTGAGGGGCGAAAATGATGAAGTCCTCAACTTGGACCACCCTGAAAATAAAACAGCAAGTGGATTAAAGAGCCACATTAAGAAAAAAAATGTAAAAGTGCAAGAAGTAACCATACAATATACTTTACCTATCGGATTGGCAAAAACCTATTAAATGTGGTAATATGTAGAGCTGGGAAAGGTGTGGAGACAAGCATTCTCATTAACTATTAGTGGGAATGTAATTTAATGGCAGTTCATATCAACTGAAATTTAAACTACACATATCTTTTGACCTAGAAATTTCAGGCATCTTTGCAAAAAGTACATATGTAAGGACTTTCACAGCATTGCTTATAATAGTAAGGGATTTTGTTTTATGTACTAGAAGAAAATATGGGATAGAATACACTAAAAAACCTCTTGAAATTTACTTTCTTGTATTTCCAGTGATGTTATGCTTAAAATGTCCTTTTAACTTTTGAGATCAGTTCAATAGGACTAATAGAACTTTTTTTTAGAGTTATTTTTAAGTAATCTCTGCACTCAATGCAGGGCTCACATTCACAACCCCAAGATCAAGAGTCACATGCTCAACAGACTGAGGTGCCCCTAAAATTTCATATTTTCTCCTAGTATTTTTTTTTCTTCCTGGATATTTAATAGTTAAAATGTGTTTTGACATTAAAATTTCTCTGGAATTATTTTGGCATGAAGTGAGTTTGAACTTCTTTCAAATAAGTATTCCCCAATGCCTTTTGTGAAATGATCCATTTTTTATCTATTGGTTAATGATACTCCCAGTATCAGATAGGAGGTTTTTATACAACCTGAGATCTACTTCAGGGTTTACTATTCCTATACACTGATTTGTTGATTTGGGAGTCCCATCGTGCTTGTATTGAGTTCAAAGTCTTCAAATGTAGACTGTGAGAATTAATCTTAGAAGCAAAATAAGAATCTAATTAATTCCTATTGTTTCTTTCCAACAGCTAGAAAAAAATCAGTAATATCTACTACTAAGTGTTAGTCTATTGTTTATCTTTTAGAGCCACCTTGTGTGTTTAGAACTGTGAGGTAATCTGTCTCGAGAGGTTAAATTCAATGACTCTACCTTTACTCTGCCCTTTTTGTTTTTGTAACTCCATATTTAACAAAATACTCAGTCTAATCTGGCTACCACTGTCACACTTATTGTGTGCAAATGTAAATTGGTAGGAGACACAAAATTAGAATCACTGCTGCCAGAGTCCCAAAGGTGTCAAACCTGTATCTGTTCTTAATTAGCCATGGAAATTCAATCTGTCACGTTTTCTGCAGATAACTGTTTTCAGAGTCATTAATGCGGAAAGAGTATTCATTCTATTTCTCTTAAGATAGCTCTAGTTGTACACTTAGCTTAGCCTTTTCTTCTAAATACATCTACTCCTGAATTTATTGCTTTTCCTTGATGTAAGTTCCATTCTTCTCATTTTCTGATATGTTACACAAAAGTTACTTAAATAATTTGGAAAATATTTTTTTCCCTTGAAGTAACTACTGGGTGTTTTATTTTTACTCAGCAGTACTATTTACTATGTTTCTGTTGGAGAACATTTTAAGCCCCAAAGAGTGTGCCCTTCAGAATTAGAGACAAAATCAGAGACCACCTTTAAGATAGAAACCAATAAAATTTAAACATCACATTTGTTTATAGGTGCTAACAAGATCATTTGGCTTCTGAGGTAGGATAGGAGCAAAGTATTTAGAACACTCACTGCATCCCCTGTGCTGAGCTGTAAGGCATAACGTTACTTCCCCCAACCCCCAATTTTCTTCCTCCGTCCAGTCTGTGGGACTTGAGTGAACTTACAAGGGACTTCAGAAGTGACTGTTAAAGGTGAACTTTTAGATCACCTATTTAAAGAGAGGAAGCTTGTACATTTAAGTGAATATTGGCCAAGTAGCAAGAACATTTAATAACTTATAGTTTGCTTTTGATTTAAACCTTTTATTATTTTTTCCCTAGGATATTCTCTCATCAGAAATATCCTGATCAACATGTGCTTTAACAAAAAAATCTATTTCATAGCTTCTGCACAGCCAAGGAAACAACCCAGAAAATTAATAGGCAACCAACGGAATGGGAAAAGATAGTTGCAAATGACATATCAGATAAAGGGTTAATATCCAGAATCTATAAGGAACTCACCAAACTACACGCCCGAAAAACAAACAACCCAGTGAAGAAATGGGCAGAAGACATGAACAGACACTTCTCCAAAGAGGACATCCAGATGGCCAACAGACACATGAAACGATGCTCAGCATCCCTCCTCATCAGGGAAATACAAATCAAAACCACACTGAGATACCACCTCACGCCAGTCAGAGTGGCTAAAATGAGCAAATCAGAGAACTCTAGATGCTGGCGAGGATGTGGAGAAACGGGCACCCTCCTACACTGTTGGTGGGAATGTAAACTGGTACAGCCCCTCTGGAAAACAGTGTGGAGGTTCCTCAGGAAACTAACAATAGAACTCCCCTATGACCCAGCAATAGCACTGCTAGGAATTTACCCAAGGGATACAGAAATGCTGAGGCATAGGAGCACATGTACCCCAATGTTCATAGCAGCACTCTCCACAATAGCTAAAACATGGAAAGAGCCTAAGTGTCCATCAACAGATGAATGGATCAAGAAGATGTGGTTTATCTATACCATGGAATACTACATGGCAATGAGAAACAATGAAATCTGGCCATGTGTAGCAACATGGATGGACCTTGAGGGTGTTATGCTGAGCGAAATAAGTCAGGCAGAGAAGGACAAATATCATATGTTTGCACGTATAGGAGGATTAGGAGGAACTTGACGGAGGAACAAGGGGGAGAAGAAGGGCGGAAATGGTGGGGGAAAGGGAGAGAGGCAAACCATGAGAGACTCTTGAATGCTGACAAAAACTGAGGACTGATGGATGTGGGGGGGAGGGGGGATGGGCATGGAGGAGGGCACTTTGGGGATGAGCACTGAGTATTATGTAGAAACTAATCTGACAATAAACTATTTGTAAAAAAAAAAAAATCTATTTCATTTTCTCGTTATTTAACTTGGCACAAGCTATGTTGTACCTACCTCCTTAGTTGTTTGTAGGAAAATAGATAGGGCATGAAAAGTGTCTACGATGGTGCCTGCATACAATAAACACTCAGTAAATGTTACCTCTTGTCATTTGTTACTAATGATTTATTATTATTAAGCATCTTGATTAATTTTTCTCAGTACAGTGCTTTTATTTTTCACCTTACTCTCCTATAATCTGGCCTCCATTTCTTTACCTTCTTGAACTACTTCTTACCTCCTAATTACCAACTTCAATTCTGGCTGT